GTGACCTACATAGGAACTCATCCACCGAACTGAAGCCTCAACTGATTCTAAATTATTTCAGGCACATCTCTAGACGGGTACTAGATTGAACGCTCTAGTCCTTGTAATTCAGTGATTTCAGTGGTTTCCCAGCCAAATAACTCTGCCTATTAAACAGGTCCTTGGGCACTTCTCCCAAAGACCCCCCAAAAATTGTTATTAAAGTCTTTATGTGGGAGAGAATTGATATTGAGAATATGTATGAGAGGAAAAAAATGCAACAAAACAGAAACAAAACAGAACAATCTATAGCCGGAACCAGCATTTTACCATATAGTAAACAATTGATATTCTACAGTGAAAAAGAATGGCACAAGGAGGGCACCCCCTCCCGCCCCCCCACACCACATTCCCCTTCTAATCTTCCACAAAGTTTCTCCTCTGTCCCCCATCTTAGCCTTCACCTCCTACAATGCATTACCCCTCACAATTAGATTTCCTCTCCCACGTGCTTACCTTTCTGTCTCAATAGGTATGTTTATTAGACTTTATGTAATGTTTGTTGCGTATCAACAAGTCTGCACACTTGTAATTTTGTGTGGTTAAAAAAATACTCTGCAGCAGTCACGATCAGGGATTACAATTTCAGGCCCGACCCTACTAGCCAGGCCTTAAAATGTACTTGCCACTGTCCAGGACACATTCACCATTGGTGAATTTCTATTGACCAAGGCTAAATTTTCACTCACCAATGGCTAGTGTCAAGTGGAAATTGTAAGATCTGATCATGATAATAAAAATAATTATTAAAAAATCTTGCTTGTACACATAATTTTTATGTTAAAAAAATATGGCACAACTAACCTGATTTGACAATTTTATCTTAAAAGATGCAATTCTATAATATCCTTTTTAATCCTGAAATGCAGGACATGGCGACATTTCAGCAAATCCCCTAAGTGTTTTCATGTCATTATGATCAAGTAAACTATTATAATTAATATCAGGTGCTGTGATCACAGATCTTAAATACGTAGAATTTATTTTACATGTCATTTGGGTGTAAGGATATTTAGGGGCCTTTGCCAAGTTAATAGGATTTAAGAGACCCGATATCTCCCTATAGCCCTATTGCCCGAGGTGATCTGGAGGAAGATAGCTAACCAACAAAGCATCTTCAATCAAAGCAGAGGATACACTTCTTGCATTGTTGCGTTTAAAGTTAGGAGGGCAAAATACATCTGTCAGAATATGTCCATGATATATGATCAGTGTGATCGTAAGATGCTTGTTATCCTTGTGCTGGTAAATAAAAGACATATGGATGATGCAGTAAAAAGAAGTCAAAAGACGATGTACGGAATGCAACGATATGACCTGAGAAGGCTGTGCGAGATCAGACCAATCGCTGGTGTTTTATATATGGGGAAGGAGTTGTCTATTTTCCAGTGAGCATGTTGTGGATATTTTCTGAATAGAAAAAGTAAACCTTTCTGCAGGAATATGTAGAGTATTTATTATCTAATTATCTAATTTTAAGAGAGAATTCACTAAAATGTTCTATGAATTTTCCGTTTTCCAGCTCAGCAGTTTTTGGCTAATTTCTGCAATTTTCTCATTAGTTCTGAATAATTCACGGTTTAGTGCATAACCCCTTTAATATGATAATGGTGGAGTGAGACCGATCAAGAATGTAAGAATTGTTATTCCCTAAAGAATGGTGTATTTAAAGAATATTTTTAGTTTAACTTCTTTTTACATTTCCCCCCTCATCCTCTGGACACACCTAGACTAGTTTACTCCTGGGTACATAACACATAGAACGGCAGAAAAAGGTATAAATGGGAAGCATCTCTTCAAATTATACATTCAATATAACATTGAAAATCCCCTCTAACCCTTCTTTCCATGTGATGTTCAATATTCTTAAAAATCTATTGATAGCTTATCAAATTTTTCCACTCGAGGTTTTTGGTATAAAATGTTACATTTCCTTTGAATTCCTGACAGTACTAAATAACCGTCTCAGCTCTACATTACTTGTTATATTTGGCCTCGCATCAATCCAGAAAAATGAATCCACTACAACAGGTTATTTATTTCAAAGATACATTTTAAATTTCACATCGCAGCGATGACAGATCAGCCAAGAAATTAATTAACAATAAAAAGATTTGTCCCATTTTGCAGCCACAGCTACATCTGGAGTATGTTTGTAGGTTCAGCAATGGGTGACGGGCTAACCACATGGAGTCATTTTGCTCTTGCAGGTGCACATAGCCCATGCAGCAGCCAGTATGTTGGCACGGGTGATGCCAACTTTCAAACACTAAATTGGTGACAGCGCTTGGTACAATTCACAACTGCATCACCTGACTCTATTAGTAGACTCAGGATGTAACGCTAAATGGTTCTGTGACATAACTCTATCTATCTATTTATCAATTATTTATTTGTCTATCTATCTATCTATCTATCTATCTATCTCTCTATCTATCTATCTATCTATCAATTTTGTATTTGTCTATCTATCTATCTATCTATCTCTCTATCTCTATCTCTCTCTCTCTATCTAGCTATCTATCTCTCTATCTATTTATCAATTATTTATTTGTCTATCTATCTATCTCTATCTATCTATCTCTCTATCTATCTATTTATCAATTATTTATTTGTCTATCTATCTATCTATCGATACAGTATCTATCTATCTATCTATCTATATTTCTTTCTTTCTTTCTGTCTATCTATCTATCTATCTATCTATCTATCTATCTATCTATCTATCTTTCTGTCTATCTATCTATCCATCTATCTGTCTGTCCGTCTGTCTATCTATGTCTGTCTGTCTATCTATCTTTCTTTCTCTGTCTATCTATCTATCTATCTATCTATCTATCTATCTATCTATCTATCTGTCTGTCTGTCTGTTCATCTGTCTATCTATGTCTGTCTGCCTATCTATCTATCTATCTACGTATCTATCTATCTATCTATCTATCAATCTATCTATCTATCTATCTATCTATCTGTCTGTCTGTCTGTCTATCTACCTATCTATCTCATCTGTCTATTATTTATTTGTCTATCTATCTATCTATTTATCAATGTTGTATTTGTCTATCTATCTATCTATCTATCTATCTATCTATCTATCTATCTATCTATCACTCTGTCTGTCTGTCTGTCTACATGTATTGAAGAGACACATACAGAATTGACAGCACACATGTTTTAATATTTAAATATTGATGGCGTGGAATATTTCTGAACTATTTACTAGTACAACTTATACTATTAAGTGTCATAAAGTCAACAATTGTACCTGATGTCTTTGTGTCTTTACATAGATTACAAACTGTGAGTAAATTGTCTACTTATAGCTCCATATCATCATATTATTCTGTATATTTAGATGTTGTAAGCATGCAGGGAGATACACAGATTAACAGTAAGATAAAGAGTTTACAACTATCATCAACAAAAGACAAAATAAATAAATATATATATATATATATATATATATATAATCAAAGCAACAGTCCAATCTGGTAAAATCCAAGGGCATTTGTCAAAAAGACCTTTGATCCCTCAGTGATAGAAAATGCTATAAAACATAATTTATATTAACTAAATCACAAATGATGCATTATTCATCTTATAGCTCTCGCCCATTGCCAGCTCGGCCACCAATTAAAGATGAGCGCAGTGGGGTCGAATGTTGGTTTTTGGTAACTGGCTATCTACCCAGGGCAGTAAATTAAGCAACCATTATCAGGGAATTCTATCTGTAAGTCTTAACCTGTAATAAATACAGCAAATATAGGGATTGTTTGTAGCTCAGCCATGATTTCATTCTCTCTAGCCTATGTTTAATCTAAAGATTTGCAAACACTGAATACATACTTGCAATACTAATCTATCTATCTATCTTTCTGTCTGTCTGTCGATCTATCTATCTATCTATCTATCTGTAGTTCTATCTATCTATCTATCTATCTATATTTCTATCTATCTGTCTGTCCGTTTGTCTATCTATGTCTGTCTGTCTATCTATCTATCTACGTATCTATCTATCATCTATCTATCTATCTATCTATCTATCTATCTATCTTTCTGTCTGTCTATCTATCTATCTATCTATCTATCTATGTGTCTGTCTGTCTATCTATGTCTGTCTATCTATCTATCTACGTATCTATCTATCTATCTTTCTGTCTGTCTATCTATCTATCTATCTATCTATGTGTCTGTCTGTCTATCTATGTCTGTCTATCTATCTATCTACGTATCTATCTATCTTTCTATCTATCTATCTATCTATCTATCTATCTATCTATCTATCTATCTATCTTTCTGTCTGTCTGTCTATCTATCTATCTATGCATCTATCTATCTATATTTTTATCTATCTATCTATCTATCTATCTATCTATCTATCTATCTATATCTGTCTGTCTGTCTATCTATATATATATATATATATATATATCTGTCTGTCTGTCTGTCTATCTATCTGTATTTCTATCTATCTATCTCTGGCATTTCTATCTATCTATCTATCTATCTATCTATCTATCTATCTATCTATCTATCTATCTAATCCATCCCTCTATCTATCTATCTATCTATCTATCTATCTATCTATCTGTCTGTCTGTCTGTCTGTCTGTCTATCTATCTATCTATCTATCTTTCTGTCTGTCTGTCTATCTATATATCTATCTATCTTTCTGTCTGTCTGTCTGTCTATCTATCTTTGTATCTATCAATCTATCTATCTATCTATCTATCTATCTATCTATCTATCTATCTATCTATCTATATTTTTATCTATCTATCTGTCTGTCTGCCTGTCTGTCTATCTATCTATCTATCTATCTGTCTGCCTGTCTATCTATCTATCTATCTATCTATCTATCTATCTGTCTGTCTGTCTGTCTGTCTGTCTGTCTATCTATCTATCCTCTATCTATCTATCTATCCATCCATCCATCGCTGGCATTTCTATCTATCTAACTATCTTTATTGTTCTACATTATCTTGTAAATTACGATACAGAATAATATTTCACGAGAGACTTCATCTATTGTCTGTTTTAATGAGCTGTCCTTGGAAAAGCCTAGAGATATCTGTGCCACTAGCTTATTGTGATTTAATTTCCCCATGCATAAAATGTTTGGCTGGCACACACAATCAGATTAAACTCTGTCTTCTGTCAATGAATCATAACAAATGGCCGAGGTTCACTGGTGATTCCATCCATGTCTCCAAACATCTCTTCCTCAAGCCTGCTTCTCCTTCTTCTTTTTTTTTCTTTATTGCAAGGTGATACTCATCCATCATCAGCGTTTAAACAGCTTCACTGCCAGAGGGTAAGGGGGTTGGTGGGGGCTCACGGAGCTCGCTCCAACGCTGCGGCAGGGAAGAGGTTAAGCAGAGGCATTTCACAAAATCTGTCACTTTTCGCGTGCTCTCCTTGGTTGCCCCTCACTTCCATTCCATTTGAAGCTCAGTAATCCCTATTTGGTTTAGTTACACTTGGATTATTTCGGCACATGCTGAGGTACCAATGGGACAAGAGCAAATTATACCGAATAATAAAGACTTTGCTTGCTCTAATAACTTTGATAATGACTTATACCTGATATTAGTGACAAAGTATTCCTGCACAGGAAGAGACAAGGAAGGGAACGAGCCAAGTATTTATATATATTGCTTCTGACACATAAATTATTCCCATAATTTATAACGTGAATAGTTATATCAACTGTAAAGCTTTGATAAAACTCTCATTATCTTTGGTTAGTTTATAAAGTTGTGCTATAGGCCAAGATTTGACGATTTTATATTATAAATGGCCATAGTCCTAAATTAGAGGGCAGAGGTTTAAAAATAATATCAGGAAGTATTACTTTACTGAGAGGGTAGTGGATGCATGGAATAGCCTTCCAGCTGAAGTGGTAGAGGTTAACACAGTAAAGGAGTTTAAGCATGCGTGGGATAGGCATAAGGCTATCCTAACTATAAAATAAGGCCAGGGACTAATGAAAGTATTTAGAAAATTGGGCAGACTAGATGGGCCGAATGGTTCTTATCTGCCGTCACATTCTAGGTTTCTATTTGCCAATTTATAATGGTTTTAGCCATTATTGTTATCCAGGCTATAACTTCTGATCTTTTCTGAAGCTGTTTTGTTCTATAAATTAGTCCAAGTACTTATTTTGACTTTCATCAGACAAACAGAAAGTTAAAGGTATAATTTGGTTCATTCTCTAGCTAAAGTTGCTTTAAAATATCTCCTTAACCTGTTGGCTCGGTCGGCTTGAAGCCCGGGTACAAATATCAATTTTAATCTGGCTCGAGGTGAAGATGCTCTAGTGTCACTTAATGTGACATGGAAAGCTGCTCAGATCGAGATATGAAGTTACACCAGCTACTTATTATAGAAGCAGCTTGTTTCTAAATCAACAGGTTCAAATTAGAAAGATGAGTAAAGACTTTCACAATCACAAGGGAATTATCACCTTCGAAGAAGAAAAAAAGATGCGCTAACTAGTTTTGATTTAGCTGAAATTAACAAGATCCCCATTTAGCTGATTTAAGTTCCCACAGTTCGTCTGTTCCTCAAAGGAAAATTATTTTAAGCAGCTTGTGATCCATGTACACATTCAGAATATTCCGAGGCTTAGGCTTGATTATTCAAGCTGAAGGCATAAAGTTTTGCATCCAGATTTACTTGCATTTAATGACCCTGCAAGCACCATGCTTTGATAGAAAACACAAGACTTTATTACTTCAAGGTTTAACCCAAGCAGATGAAAAATTAGAAAATTCAAGGAGCGGAATTCATGTGATAAGGACATTTTTGAAGATGAAAAAAGATGAATATCCTTTCTGCAATAAATCTACTTTTGAGTAAAGAAATGAAAAAATACCCTTATTTGAGTAATTTTTGCTTCAGTTATTTTGTGAGGATTGCTACTTGTATCGCAGTGGGACATCCTTTAAAATACCAGAAAATAAGAGTACAGTGGTACCTCGGTTTACGAAATTAATGCATTCTCCGGGACTTTACTTATTGCAAAAAATTCATACACCGGAAATTGGTTTCCCATAGGAATGCATTGAAAACCAATTAATCCATTCCGGAGGTCAGAAAAAAGTCAAAATGAGCTGGCAATGAAACCAACCCACAATGCAGAACACACAGTAATAGGCATGCAAACGATGAAGCTCAGCTCCCTACCTTTCCACAGCTTGAGAAAGGCACCAAAAAGTCCCAAAACAACTGCAAACAATTTCCAGAATGGCTCCAAAACTTGATGCAAGAACCACTCCAACACCTCCACACTCGACGCCACGTGCTGCCCACAGGCTCCAGCATGCACGGGGTTGGCGCTATAAACCTACCAGGAGCAATGCATCCTGGGGAAACTTGCTTCGTATTGCAAAACAAAATTGTAAACTGAGGCATTATTTTCAATGGATTTTCATTTGTAAACCGAAAATTATGTTAACCGAGGCGTTTGTAAACCGAGGTACCACTGTACTTGAAAAGCGAAAAGGGCCACAAGAGTCGGCTTTAGCACATTCACTAAATTTGATTTCCATCGAGTCTATTGATTCTTTGTTCACGGGGCATTACATAGAATTTACATTTGTACATCAAAACGTAAAGAACAACCAATAACAGATACAATAGACAAATTAGTTGAATATACTGGTGAAATACAAAGAAAAAAAGGGGACAGTGTTTTTTACAGTAAAGACGGCAAATAAGGACTTGTGGAGGTTGGAGACAAAGACTGAAAAGGTAGGTTTTAGGAAGTTTTTATGAAAAGTACTGAGGGAGTCGGTTGATTGGATATGAGAAGTGACTTTGTTCCAGATGTTAGTGGGACTAATGGAATTTAGGAAACTCAGAAACGAGTAAAATTGGCGTATCTTGGGTAAATGTAGTCAAAACACCTGAGTGTTTCAAGCCATGTATTTAGTAAGTTCTCCTTGCCCCAGCAAGAGTTTTAGAGAGTGAAAGGCTATAAATATTAAACTCGTGCATTTGGTTTCTCTTGAAAATGCCCTTTGTGCAAATTTTGCTCAATTTGCAGTTTGTCTGTTATCCCGTATTTTAAAACACTAAATGGCTGAATCATAAACAGACGAAACAGACAATAAAATAAAACGGTTTCAATTCACTCGAGATTTGGAGTTCCGTCTGTGACGTCGAAAAAAGAAATGATTGATGGGTAAAAAGATGATTGATGGTTATGGTGCAGACACTAAATGTTGATTCTATTTATTCACAATTCAAGTGAGACATAACTAATAGAGGGAAAATATCTAAATTTCTATATTATATATTTCATAAATACATTAATAGATATAGATTTTTTCAATGCTCCTCATCTTTTTCACTCTACTAATTACTGATCTGAAAACCAAATGTTGTGAAAATACTCCTCTCAGTGTACTGCACAAAATATAGCCATAATATTTATAATTGCAGTACACCGACTGACCCATTTCTGTGCCCTATTGTTTGTCTGTATTGTTTTTCCCAAAATGATTGCCTGGATGAATTTCGTCTGAATCAAAAAGCCTCATGGACGAACCCAAATCGCCGGAAACAATTTTTTCCCCCCCAGACGAACCAAGTATATATATTCAGTGCACAAGTTTAATAAATGTAAGCCTGATACAAATAATGCATTTGAACCCATTCATACAGTCTAGGAGTTGTACGATAACACATTATTATTATTATTTTTTTATTATTGATATAGCGCCAGCAAATTCCATAGCGCTAGACAATGGGATGCTTTTAAGTTGCTCATTGTGATAAGGTGTTCGTAATGTCACTGATATAGGTAGGGGTGAATTAATTGGGGCCTAACCAAAACACTAAAATCTAAGAGATACTTACTAGAAACAGCATTATAAAACTTGTAGGTAAGTTCACAGAGTAATATCAAAACGGACCTAGATTTATTAGAGTAAATGAGTCTTAAACTTTGTAACTTACCCATAAGACTCACGGGGTCATTATTCTAACTGTTCCAGATCACTGTGTAACATTTAACCCATCTTCAGTTTAATGTATCTACAAGAAGGGTCTGTGTCCCCTTATTGACACACAAGCTGTTACACTTAGAGCCAGGTTTAAGGGCTCTAATCAAGGTGAGCTGTTCCTCTTATTTCTTTCCACTCACCTATATCTCCAGACATACTGTGCCAGATATTGGTTTTCATCATTTCACACCAGGAGATATCACCCAAAGGATCCGTGTTCCTTAATACACGTCTGCTAGAGTGATTTGAGCCTGTCCTGTTTAGGCTCAGAACCATGTGAGTTTTCCTGACACTGCAGGTACCCTCTCCCTCCCACCACCCATCCCATTTTGCTGAAGGGGGGAAAACCCCTTCAGTGACTTACCTGAGACCCCCGCCGATGTCCCTCGGCGGTGGTTTCCGGTCCGCCCATGCTCCTCCCCGCCGGCGGCGGGGGAGACCTAATGCGCATGCACGGCAAAGCGCTTTCCTATGGGGAATTGAGCGATGCTGGAGGTCCTCACACAGTGTGAGGATGTCCAGCGACGCTCTAGCACAGAAAAGCTGTGCTAGAAACCAGGAAGTGCCCTCTAGTGGCTGTCTAATAGACATCCACTAGAGGAGGAGTTAACTCTGCAATGTAATTATTGCAGTTTATGAAAACTGCAATATTTACAGCTGCAGGGTTAAGGGTAGTGGGAGTTGGCACTCAGACCACTTCAATGGACAGAAGTGGTCTGGGTGCCTGGAGTGTCCCTTTACCACTATTGAAACAGCATTTTACATGTCTATTTCAGAGAAAACGCCTTTAGTGGTTGTGGAGTGACATCCACAAGAGACATTTTAAACCGTGCATTGTAAACATTGTCGTTCCTGCAGAGTGGTAATATTTTACATTACAGGGTTAAACAGACAGGAACACTGGACCCAATTCACCTGGAGCACATGTATTCTTCATATACTCCCATTTCAAAGTTACATGACGGACACATTACAGAAAATAAATGATCTGAAAAGTGAAACTCTGCAGTTTTGCAGGCTTTGGAGTTAACATTCAGCAGCTCTGGTGGAGGACACCTAACTTACAGAGCCAGTTAGAAAAAAAAACCATTAACCTGCCAGGTGGGGTAGATTAGTTAATCATCGTGGTAAGAAGGAGCCAAAGTAAACAATAAGAAAAACAAGTCATGGGTCTGATTTCTGGAGAAGTGTGAATAACTGTTGATTACTACAAAATATAAGGGATATGCCACATTGAAGAATGGATGCTGGCAAGATTTTGAGTTAGGTGTCAACTGAACAGGCACATTTAACGGACCTGCTGA